ACCAGCATGGGCAACAGAGTGAGACTCCAACTCAAAAAAAAAAAAAAAAAAAAAAAAGAGGAGAGGTGCTGGGCATGATGGTTCATACCTGTAGTCTCAACGCCTTGGAAGGCTGAGGTGAGAGGATTGTTTGAGCCCAGCAGTTCAAGATCAGCCTAGGCAACACAGCAAGACTCCATCTCTAAAAAAGAGTAGTGGGAAACTGCCGGTGGGGAGGGGGCACACCTCATCAACAAGGGTACCTGCATAATGAACATTTGTATACCCCTGAATTGTACCCCAATATTTAAAATTAAAAATAAGAAAGAGTACAGTGACTCAAGAGATGTCACTCCACAGAAAGATAGACACTGTATGATCTCATTTCTAGATGAAGAATGGTAGTTGAGAGGAGAATGGTGGTTGCCAGGCAGAGGAGGGAGGGGAACCAGGGTGATGCAGGTCAGAGGGTACAATGTCTCAGTTCTGCAAAATGAACACATTTTGGCGATCTAATGTTGAGTACGATGACTACAGTTAATAACACTACACTGTATATTTGAAATTGGCTATGAAGGGACCCCTAGGAAGGGTTCTCATTACATACACACACAAGATGAGTATGTGAGGTGACGGGTATGTCAGCTAGCTTGGTTGTAGAGGTCATTTCACAGTGTGTTCCTACATCAAAGTATTGAGTTGCACGCTTTCAATATATACCATTTCTATTTGTCAACTGCACCCTGATAAAGCGGGGGGGAGGAGGAAGAGGTGTCACTCAACTCTTCGGAGCTAAAGGAAAACCGACCACCATTCCTCACGGTCTAAGAAGAAGTGCTAAACCCATGCCTTGTTGCTCTGCTGAAATTCTGTAGAAATTCCCAGAGACAGTGCAGTCCTGAAAGAGCAGTGAAAGTTAAAAATTAAGAGGGCCAGAAAGTCAGGGTCTCGGTGTCCTCTGTTTACTCTGTGATACACGTCACAGTCACTAGTGCTGCACACCAGATGCCTTTGGTCAGATGGGGGGTCAGTTCCCAACTCCTCCCTTTCTTGAAGGTGCATCGCCACCTGCCTTGCTTTCTCCAATATATGTGAGCAAAAGGCAAAGGTATCATTTCTGGGTGGAAGCTTTCAAAGCCATCACAGTTTTCTTTTTCCCTCTGGCTTGCGATGTCCCACATGAAAACTGCCCTGTCAACCCAGGATCTTAGGAAACAACGTAGACTAGAGTCCCCACCCAACTGTGGAGTGAATGAGACATGAACTTCAGTTGTCCTATACCTCAGAGATCTAAGGGCGTTTTGTTACCTTATCTTAACCTAACCTGCCCTAACTGACACAGCTGAAAATGTAACCAGGACAGAAACAAGGGCATGCTGGGGCTAAAGGTAGTATGAAATACTTATCTGCATCAAATACATATTCCTCTCCAGTACATGCTCTTTTTCTTTTTGTGCAATTAGTGTGATATTCTTTTTGAGTTGTGTATGTTGTTTTCATGGATTAATCGGTTTTCAGGATCTAACTCACCAGGGTGGTTTTAAAGCCCTATAAAGACAGGGCTGCTCTTTTCACATCACTTTTTTAAAAATCAAAACAAAGATGTCAATCTGTCCTGGTATTGTCTGACTCATTGTCCTGCTGATATAAAGAAGTCTGCATGTGTGAAGGTATAGGTATTAGTTTGGTGCCTTATTACATCAGCACACACTCTGCTCCCATCCATATGTTTTAAGAATTTAAACCTGATTTTCACTTTAAATTGTTCAAGGAAAACAAAGGCATGACCAACATTAAGTGGCTTACTTGCCAAAAAAAACATTCATCCTGTTCACATTTATCAATTGTGGAAACACAGGCAAAACTGGAAAAGCTGCCTTTGTAGGCCACTTTTTTAAAAAATCCAAAATATTTACTACTCAATAGCCCCAAAATAATGAATAGTAGTTATCAGCACCACCATGGAAAATGTACATATCTGGAGTTTTCCAGAGGTGGCATTAGCCCTGCTTCTCTACTAACTGGTCATGTCTCTGGGAAGGATCCTCAAACTGATTGAACCTGAATCCCCCCCCACCTTTTTTTGAGTTGAGATCTCACTTTGTCGCCAAGGCTGGAGTACAGTGGGACAATCATGTCCTTCTTGGCTGAGGCAATCCTTCCACCTCAGTCTCCCAAGTAGCTGAGACTATAGGAATGAGCCACCATGCTCAGCTAATAATAATAGTCTCGCTTTGTTGTCTAAGCTGGTCTCAAACTCCAGGGCTCAAGTAACCCTCCTGCCTTGGCTTCGCAAAGTGCTGGGATTACAGGCATGAGCCTCTGCACCTGGCAAACTCCTCATTTTTAAAATGATGGGAGGAGTCTTTGCTGGCTTTAAAATTCTGACTCTTTGATTCTAACTAGTTTATTTTTTAGCTCTACAAACACACAAATATTTCAGAGTTAAGTTTTTGAACACTGCAGTATTAAAAAAGGCTCAGTTCCTGCAAGTGGGAGGGGCAGTGAGACCTGCACATGAGTGCAGTCAATACACAGCAGCAACTGGTCTGTTTCTGAACTGAACATAAACTAACACTGAATGAAATTCAGTGGAACCTGGGTAAACCAGGCCACTAACATAGGTGAGAAGCACACTCAGTGCAGATAAGATATGTGGAATAGTTCATATCAACTAGAGGACATAGCAGATGACAGCCGAACACAGGTCGGCACTAAAATACTTGAATCAGAAAGATGTGAAATTTGTCATGTGGGATCACAGCCCCAGAGTGAAGAGAAGCTATTTCTCCCATTGTGCTCAACTGTTTTGTGTGTGTGTGTTAAAGTCAGAGTTTCACTCTGTCACCCAGGCTGGAGTACAGTGACACGATCTGGGCTCACCACAGCCTCGACTTCCTGGGCTCAGTTGATCCTTCCGCTTCAGCCTCCCGAGTAGCTGGCATTATAGGCATGTACCACCATGCCCACCTTTTTTTTTTTTTTGTATAGAGACAAGGTCTCACTATGCTGCCCTGGCTGGTCTCAAACTTCTAGCCTCAAGCGATTCTGCTGTCTTAGCCTCCCAAAGTGCTGGGATTACAGGCATGAGCCAGTGCGCCTGGCCTGTTCTCACCGGTTGACAATTGTTTGGGAAACGGGAGTTGGGAGAGAAAAAAGCCAAAGAGATCTCAACTATTTAGTGATGTAGTCTGAAGAAACGACAACTAAGTGCAAGCAAATTGCTATGTTCGGGGACACAAAGAGTTCCCATAAACAGGACAGGGTCATCTGCTCCTCATCTCTGCATAGAGGAAGAAGCACCAAAGTACAATACAGGAGGGAGACTAGGGTAGACAAAACACATAAGAAGGAGATAATGGATGTCAAGCTTCACACATCTGAAATTCTATTCAGGGAAGTTATATTATTTTCCACTAATTTTGTGTCTACACAGGATGGTTAAAATGCAATTCTGCCACAGATTAATTGTCAACTCAAATTTCCTTAACTCATCTGGGCATGGTGGCTCACACCTGTAATCCCAGCACTTTGGGAGGCAGAGGTGAGAGGATTGCCTGAGCCCACGGTTTGAGACCAGCCTGGACAACTTGTTGAGACCTGGTCTCTACAGTAAATCAGGCATGATGGCACATGCCTGTAGTTCCAGCTACTTGGAAGCCCGAGATGGAAGGATCACCTGAGCCCAGCAGGTCGAGGCTACAGTGGCTGTGAGCATGCCACTGCACTCTGGCCTGGGCAACGAGACTCCAATTTAAAAAAAAAAAAAGCTTTACCCCTCCATAAAAATAATTAAGCCGGGCTCGGTGGCTCAGCCTGTAATCCCGCGCCTTTGGGAGGCTGAGGTGAGTGGATTGCCTGAGTCCGCGGGTTCGAGACCCGACTGGGCAGCGAGACCTCATCTCTACAATAAATCAAAAAATCAGCCGGGCGTGGTAGCGCATGCCTGTAGTTCCGGCTACTTGGAAGGCTGAGGCGGAAGGATCGCCGGAGCCCAGCAGGTCGAGGCTGCGGTGGCCGGGAGCGGCCACTGCACTCCAGTCTGGGCGACAGAGTGAGACTCCAACTCAAAAAAAAAAAAAAAAAAAAAAAAATACTTAAAAGTAAAAATAAACAAAAGCCCTAGCAATTACCAGTAGTTACCTAAAAAGGCAAACTACCATTATTTTCTTCGTGGTAGCTAAGCCACTTTGCTCCCCCACTAGAAAATTATACATCATTAAAAGTATCATCATCGAGTGTTTTATTTTTCAGCATTATATATATATATTTTGCTTTCAATGTCTGTCTTTATTATTTTTATTTATAGTTTATTAAAAATGTGTGGGTCAACCCCTTCGGGTCTCCTCCCACTGTGGGAGCTTTTCTGTCCTCTCAATAAATCCTGCTTTCAAAAAAGAAAAAAGACATGTGATACAATTCAGGATTAGGTACACAAGTGGACATCGTACAGGTAAAGTCTGGGCCTCCCTTTGGTCCCCACTTTGCCTGGTTTGAGATCAGGTACACTTGTTGATGTTGTGTTCCCTCCCCACCCTCCACCCCCACCCTGGTTGTATCTTGCTACTGCCAATCCCTTTCTTGTAGTATTATGATAATTGTTCAGGGTCTGCTTATGAGTGAGAACATGTGGTACTCTGTTCTTTGTTTCTGTGATAGATCACTGAGTATTACAGACTCTAAATCCATCTAATATATTTTTTTCTATTGTATGCACTTAGGTACAAGATGTCTTCCAAACTCCATCTGCTATCCCCATGAGGAGGCTGTAAGAGTATGCCTATAAATATATCATCAACTTTTGTTTTATATGTCCACTTAAGCACAGAAATTTTAATTTCCTCAAAGTAATATTAAGTTCAGAAAGCCTACTTGCCCAAAAATAACAACAATCTCATAGTTTTTGTTTGGACCTTAAGAATGAAATCGAGCAAAATTCTCAAATAACCAATTCTTTCATGAATTCTCTCCAACTCTACACTTTCTAAGATCAGTTTAGCCAGGTCTTAAGATTAGACCTGTGGAATGCATGCAGTAGTAGAGAGGCAAGCACAGAATCAGGGTGCTGTGGACCGAACACTTGTATCCTCCCCAAAAGCCATATGCTGAAGCCTTAACCCCCGTGTGATGGTATTTGGAATGAGCCTTTGGGAGATAATTTTTAAGTTTAGATGGAGTCCTGATGCTGGAATCCCACATAGGGTTAAGGTCCTTTTAAGAAACAGAAGAGAGCCTAGAGCTCCCCTGCTCTGCCACTTGAGGGCACAGCAGGAAGGCAGCTGTCTACAGTTAGGGAGAGAGCCCTCCCCAGAATCTGACCGCACTGGCACCCTGATCTCTGACTTCCCAGCCTCCAGAACTGTGAGAAACAAATGTCTGTTGTTTAAGCCTCCCCGTCTGTGGTATTTTGTTTGAGCCCAAGCTGAACGTGGGAAAATTAAAGTTGTGGGCTAAGGCCGGGCTCAGTGGCTCAGTCTGTAATCCAGGCACTTTGGGAGGCCGAGGCAAGTGGATTGCCTGAGCCTGCGGGTTTGAGAGCTGCCCAGGCAACTTAGTGAGACTTCATCTCTACGATAAAGCAAAAACTAGCCAGGCATGATAGCGCACACCTGTAGTTCTGGCTACTTGGAAGGCTGAGGCGGAAGGATCGCTGGAGCCCAGCAGGTCGAGGCTACGGTGCCCAGGAGTGTGCCACTGCACTCCAGGCTGGGTGACAGAGTGAGCCTCCAACTCAAAAAATAAAAATAAAAAACATAAAGTTGTGGGCTAAGAGTGAAAATGCATATCTGATACAAAAGTAAAAAGAACCCACACCTGAAAACAAGATGTGCCAAGTCTTATAACAAACGCTTCAGCTCCACTAGCTCACTGAAGCCTCCTGACCGTGCTCTAGGGTAGCCTCTGCACTAAGGTGTACTCACCTGGAGTTTCCTTTTCTTCCTCGAGAGGCTTCCTGTCCAGTCACTGATCCGCCGCATCCTGGCTTTAAGGGTGTCCTTCTTTGTGGTATCCTCAGTTAAGGCTTTGGGCTTCCGACAGGGGAGGGTGAAGGAACTGTACTGGACGGGATCCCTGTGCGCCACCCTGGAGGGCACATCAATGTCGGAGGCAAAGGACACGCGGTGGCTCAGGCTGGCATGTGTGCCCATGTATTCATCAGAAAGGCGGACACCTGAGGGGGAGAGGCTCCCCAGGTTGGCATCTTTGTACAGTTCCCGAAGGGAGGAGAGGGAACAGCTTTGGTTGAAAGGCTTTTTGGTGTCACCAGGTGGGAAGCTCGCATGGAGGCTGGGGTCAGGCATGCCGGGTGCCAGGAAGGAGCCCTCCGCCTCGCTCAGCTCCCCGGTGTTGCCCCATGGGGAGTCGTACCAGGAAGACTCGGAGCTCAGGGAGCTGCCTTTGCTGGAGCGCAGGCGGGAGTCCGTGGAAGAAGGGCGATGGCCGGATGGAGAGTTGGCACCAGAGTCCCTCCTGGCCTCAGGCACGGGGGAGGTTTCCGAGCCCAGTGTGGGTGAGTACCGCAGCAGCTGCACGGGGCCACCAGGGTCCTCTGCAGACACTTTGCTGCCACCATTGTGGAACTCGACCCTCAAGCAGCCATCCAACTTGCCCAGCGTCTTGATAAGCACCCTGGGGCTCCTGCGGTCCTCACCTGGTGGGGTAGAGGCCACACTCTCCTGCCTCCCGTAACAGTTGAGAAGGTGGCCGTTGCAGTCCCTCGAGGTGAGGTGGCTGTCGGCGGGCTCATGGCCAACATAGTGGAAGCCGTTCTCAGGTGAGAAAGCAGCACTGTTGCCCTGGAAATCCCTTCCTGGGGCATTTGTTCTGTGCTTGGGGTAGGCCACACCTTTGGAGACTTTGCACGTGGGTCCCCCGGGTCTCGATGCATACGGCTGGTTACTTTTAAAGTGGGAAAGACAGCTTCGGGCCAGGGACCTGGACTTGTAACCTGCTCCACTGCTTCCGTGGCCCCATCCATGCAATGACTTTTCATCTTTGGCATGAATGCCGCGTATTTTCAAGGAACAAGGCTTTTGCTTTGCACCAGTTATAGTATTGCTATGACTTTTGGATCCCTGAAGGGTGTACTGACTCTCGGAGTTCCCCATTTTAACCTAAATTAAGAACAGTTGCATCAGTAAGAGGTTAGACCTAAATTACATTCCATTATGAAAGAACTTCCTAAAAAAGAATGTCCAACACAGTACCCAGGAAATAAGCAACTTCTTTCTGTGCCTGGCATGACTCAGAGGAGTAGGGACATGAGTTTAGTTGGGAGAATTGGGTCTTCTCAATTCTCCCAACTCACTAGCCCAACAGACAACACTGCACATTTTCATGTCAGTTATTACAGACATATTACTTATTGAACGAAGTTAATTTAGAAATGCAATAGCATAAAAATCAGCTTAAGAGCCAGATCTCCTTCAGGCTTGGTATTGGGAGGTTTTGAACAAGTAAGTCTTGAAGAGAAAAACTGGGGAAAGTACTTTTATTCTGTAAGTCCAAAAACACAGATTTCAGTGATTGAAGACATACACTTTTCATTATATGTAAACTACCAGTAGAGTTAACTCCTCGCCATAAAACAATAAAATTTTGCTCAGAAACAGCAATATTTTTAATAAAATGATGCCAGGTACCAGACCCTGCTGGAGATTTAGGAATATTACAAAAGAAAAGAAGTCCTCAAAAATGAGGCTGAGGCTGGGAGTGGTGGCTCATACCCATAATCCCAGAACTTTGGAAGGCTGAGGCAGGGGGATGTCATCTTTGTGAAAAATCAAAAAATTAGCTGGGCATAGCGGTGTATGCCTGTCATCCCAGCTACTCGGGAGAGGCTGAGGCAGAAGGATCACCTGATCCAGGAGACTGAGGCTGCAGTAACCCATGATCATGCCACCACGCTCCAGCCTGAGTGACAAAGTAAAACTCCAACTCGGGGAAGAAAAATTTTTTAAAAAGGAAAAGAAAGAAATGAGGCTGAGATTTTAAAAGGGGGGAGAAATAAACACATTTTAGTAGAACGAATCTCTGGAGCTTTTCTAAAGAGTTCAGGCATCCTCACTTTAGAATATGATGGAAGAAAGATGTCTAAAGCTGACTGGTTAGATGTGGGCATCAGAAAAAAATTACTGAACGCTTTTACTTCCCTTTACAGCCCCAATGTACTCAAGGAGTCTATTAGTTAAGCCAAACCCAAAGTGAAATTTGATTCACACTTTCTCCCTGTTTTTCATTCTAACCAGTCTATCACTATTTTAGGCAAGGTGGGGGTGATGCTATTCCAATCATGTTTCCCAACATATTTAATCAGTTTTTTATTTTGTTTATTTATTTTGAGTGGGAGTCTTACTCTGTCACTCACGCTAGAGTACAGTGGCATGATCACGGCTCACTGCAGTCTTGACCTGCTGGGCTCAGGTGATCCTTCCACCTCAGCCTTCCAAGTAACTGGAACTACAGGCTCGTACCACCATGACCAGCTCATTTTTAAAAATTTATTTTAAAGACAAGGTCTTGCCATGTTGCCCAGGCTGGTCTTAAACTCTTGGGCTCAAGCAATCCTCTTGCCTTGGCCTCCCAAAGTGCTGGGGCTACAGGTATGAGCGACCTATAGTGAGTGCCCAGCCTGGTTTTTTATTTTAATTATTGTACATCTAGGAATATATAGCCACAAAACAGACGTCAAATGGATTGACTTTTCTCTGAGGGCAGTTATCTAATTTTTTAACACCCAAATTGCTGGAGCAAATAATAAAACCTTAACTTATGACCTTAATTGCAGCCATGCAGCTTGACATGAACCACAACACGCGTGAGCTGGGTTTACCTGCAGCTTGGTTTTCGCTCTGAGGGAGATTCGTGGTCAGCAGGCTTTACATGGCCTTGGGAGCAAGACGGTGCATTGAACAAGCACGGGGCGATGAGTCCATGAAGTAGCCCTGAAAAAGAGAAATACAAGAAACGCTGTCAGGTCTTTTATACAAGCCCCCAAAAAAGTCAAAAGGGTGGTCGAATAAAAACGATCTGAAGAAATAACCAGTGTCTAGAATCACCATCCAAATAAAAAGTGAAATGTCTGTGAACTGCCTGATTCATCAGGGTTATTTGGAAGCAGGAATGGAAGCAGAACTGCCCGTCCAATCTCCAAAGGCCGCCGACTTGACACACAGTCAGCAGTCCAATGAGTGTCTTTGTTTCAGGGGACACCGGGAGGAGCGCTTGAGTGAGTCATGCACGGTTCATCTGTCACCACTACCAGGAAAACAACTCTCAGACTCACCGCAGGAACAAGATCGCAGAGACATCCTCCTGACACCACAAGAGATGCTCACCATTCTCTAATGGAATAAACAATAAAAACAAACCCCAAAAGGTACCATCACTGTGCACAGACCCTGGCTAAAACAAGTTAGGTAACAGAGGGTGACCCCATAAATGAGATCAAAAGTTTCCCTCAAGCACATGTTAGACAGACCCACCTTTGAGGGATAAGACAAGACTTCTGAGAAGGGAGGAGGACGAGGTAAGACATTGAGGCCACCATCTGTGGCCCTCACTATTTATTTATTTGAGTTGAGGCCTCACTCTGTGACCCAGACTGAAGTGCAGTGGCACAATCACCATTCACCACAGCCTCAAACTCCAGGATTCAAGCGATCCTCCTGCCTCAGCCTCCCAAGTAGATGGGACTACAAGTGTGTGCCACCACACCTAGCACATTCTTTGATATTCTGTAGAAACAAGGTCTTGCTATGTTGCCCAGGCTGATCTCAATCTTCTAGGCTCAGGCAATCCTCCTGCCTCAGTCTTCCAAAGTGCTGGGTTTACTGGCGTGAGCCACCACACCGAGTCTAGTTTCTTTTTTAGATTTCATTTGTAATCGTGATAGAATATGCACAACATAAAATTTTCCATTGTAGCTAGGCATGGTGGCTCAAGCCTGTAATCCCAGCACTTTGGGAGGTAGAGACGAGAGGATTGCCTGAGCCCAGGGGTTCAAGACCAGCCTGGGCCACCTGGTGAGACCTCATCTCTACAATTAAAAAAAAACAAGCCAGGCTTGGTGGCTCAGCCTATAATCCCGTGCCTTGGGAGGCTGAGGTGAGTGGATTGCCTGAGCCTGCAGGTTCGATTGCCTGGGCAACTTGGTGAGACCTCATCTCCACAATAAATCAAAAAATTAGCCGGGCGTGGTAGCGTGCGCCTATAGTTCCAGCTACT